GGGGGGGTTGGGCAGAATATAGGGTCAGAGGGGGCAGGGGCTCCAGACTCCTGCATCCTGAGGGAAGAGGGAACTGGGGGCCCAGAATCCTGGATCTGAGTGGTGAGGACTTCTGAGGTAACAGGGGCCTCAGAGTTCAGAATCCTGGCTCAGAGCCCAGGGCCATGCCTGTGTCTGCCTCAGATCGCCACCTGCAACAGCCGCAACGGGAACCCAGCCCCTGAGATCATATGGTATCGGAACGGGCAGCCCCTGCAAGTGCCCATGGAGGTGAACTCAGGTGAGCGTTGCAGGAGCCCAGCGAGACATGGGTTGGGTGGGGTGATGGCCACGGCTGGCTGACTGCCCCCTCCCTCTTTCGCAGAGAGCTACATGACCAGCCGCACAGTGCGGGAGGCCTCTGGCCTGCAGTCTCTCGCCAGCACCCTCTACCTGCGGCTCCACAAGGCCGACCAGGATGCCTCCTTCCACTGCTCTGTGTACTACCAGCTACCCATGGGCCAGCATGGCCGCCTGGACAGCCGGCCCTTCCGCCTCACCCTGCACTGTGAGTCCACGCTGGGCCCAACCTCCCCAAACCTTGGACTTCACACCTCATGGAGGCCTGACCTTCCAAGCTCACCTGTGGCCCCACACTCCCCTCTGGCCCTCCATCACACTACCTTATGCTGAAATGTGTGTTGGCTGCTGACCTCAAAGAGTAGCATGAGCCCCATTCTGACTTCTGATCCCCTCATAGCACTCTGAACCCCATGGAGTTTCACGACTAAACTTTGTGCTCCATTCTCTCACACCGAGTTGGCTCCCTAAATCTTACACTGACCTGTCACCCCCACTGACCCCTGACCTCTGCTCCCTGATCTCAGAATAAGTGTGAACCTGAACCTTGAAAAATATGACTTCTAACCGATGACCACCCGTAGCCCTCCCTTTGCTGTGACCATGACCTCTCTCCCTCAACCCAGCCCTGCCTTTTACCCTTGATCTGTCCTACCCTTAACCCTGATTATGAGTCCCCCCCTTTCCTTCCCCTTAGATCCCACAGAGCACGTGCAGTTCTGGGTGGGCAGCCCGTCTACCACAGAGGGCTGGGTACGCGAGGGTGACTCTGTCCACCTGTTCTGCCGGGGGGACGGCAGCCCCAGCCTAGAGTACACGTTTTACCGCCTTCAGGTGATGCACCCCATCATTCCTTTGGAGCCCCTGGCCCCTGACCTCTGTGACATACTGACCTGTACCACTTCTACCTTTCACCTGGGTGGCCCCTGGCTTAGCAAGGCATCTGGCTGGTGACCCAGGAGCTAACAGGACCTCTGACCCCTGATTTGAGAGAGTCCTGACTTAACAGATACTTGATTTGGGAGACCCCTGGCCTAGCAAGGCCTCTGCCCCCTTACCTGCATGGGCTCTAATCTAGTATGCTACTAACCTGGTGACCCGGACCTATCAAGATGCCTGGCTCTGACCCAGGTGGCCTCTGACCTAGCATGACTCCACTGGACCTGGGTGGCTCCTGAACCGAGTTCCTCATCCCTGGTCACCAGGATAAGGAGGAGAAAATGCTGCAAACAAATTTTGTCGGGAACTTCACCCTGGAGAGCGTGCAGCGGAACCAGAGCGGGATCTACGGCTGCAGAGTGGAAGACTATGACGCTGCCGAGGACGCAGAGCTCTCTCAGACGCTGGAGCTGCGCGTGGCCTGTGAGAGCCCTGGGAGAACAGGGAGGGGAGCTCTGGCACAGGCTGTCTCCTCACCCTCCGCAGCCCTGCCTCCTAAATATGTGGTCCCTGCCTTGGTCCAGATGTGCTCCTCCCCCTGGGTCCCTGCCCCAGTCGTCCCCCCGAAACTCCCACATCAGGTAGCCAGACAGCCCTTTTCAAAGCACAAACCTGACCTTCCCCTGCTCCAGAATCTGCCATAGCTCCCCAGTGCCCTCGGGAGAAAGGCCAGGTGCCTCCCCGCGGCCTTCAAGGCCCACGTGGCTGGCTTTGCCTTTGGCTGACCCTTCTCCCAAAGCATTTTCCTCATCCCACCCAAGCTCCTCTCATTCCCCTGACAGCACCCCACCCTTCTACCGTCCATTTCTGACCGGTCTCTTGGGTACCAGTCTTCTAAGAAGGCTTCTCAGTCCACTTGCCTCCTGGGCCCTCAGGCTCTATTCCTCCTCAGCACTCCTTATGTTTCCTTTCCTGGGGCTAGACCCTATGCCAGAGGTTGGGGACACCTGTGAGCAAGACAGCACAGTCCCTGCCTTCGCAGAGCTCCTGGCCCAGGAAGGGAGACAGATGGTAAATGCTAAACAAGACACTTGGGAGCAATCTTGCATCGGCAGGGACTGGCGCAGAGTGATGGACTAAGGAACTGGCCAGGCCAGAGGGGGAATAGTTTAGATGATGGGGGGGGGTGTGTGTTGGCAGGGTGTGTCCCAGGAAGCAGATTCTGACTTGGAGATCTGGAGGCAGGAAGTTTATGGAGAGTGCTTTGGCGTCCACATCTACTGGGGAGTGGCAAGCGGAAGGAAGCACGATTGGGCAGAGGGAGAAGTTGGGCTGCCGTCTAAGAAGGCCTCGGTTGGCCCCACAGGGCACTTGGAAGCTCGGGTATCCCCAGTTGAGGCAAGGGGGCTTGGCTTTTATACGCCCACATCAGCCAGTCATTGGCTGGTGGGCTGCCTGCAGAAGGGGTCATGACCTTGAGTGAGGGGCTCTCTGCAGCTGAAGCAGTTCCCAGAGAGGGCTAACAGCTGAGGGCTAACAGCTGACATCCCTCTCAACAGCTGAAGGGGGAAGCTGAGTGTCCACAATAGGGTGTCAGAGAGGCCCTCTCTGAGAAGGGGACATTTGAGTAGGAAACCACAGAACGGAATACAAAATGCAAAGAGCCGGAAGAAGAGCACTCCAGGCAGAGGGAACAGCAAGTGCAAAGGCCCTGAAGCAGGACCCAACTTGGCATACTGGAAAAGAACAGCAAGGAAACAGGGTAGCTGGAGCTCAGGGGGCAACGAAGATGCGGTCGAAGAGGTAGACAGCTATCAGACCAGGCAGGATCTTTTGGCTTTGTCAAGGAATTTGGCCTTTATGCCGAGAGTACTGGGGGACCACTGCAGGATCTTAAGCAGAAGGAATTGCTGACCAGTGTGTGTTTTGAAAAGATCCCTCCAGCTGCTCAGTGGAGAATGGATTGGAGAGGACAAGAGTCCTGCCCAGTAGGGAGACCAGTAAGGAGCTGACTACAGTGGTCAAGGCATTTGGATTTGGGGGTCAGAGATGGACAGAAGTGAAAGGATTCATTTGGGGAGGGCAGAGCCGAGAAAGATGAATGAATGAATGAATGAATGAATGGGCAGTGGCGAGGAGGAGGCCAGGGTCTGGGCTTGAGCAAAGGGTTTGGGTGGTCAGAGAAGGAACACTTCACACTGCCAAGGAAATCCATTAACCTTGGGCCCAGATATCAGCTCTGGAGGAAAGTGGTTGAGGTGGGCATGGATATATATATATTTTTTAAGATTTTATTGGGGAGTTGGGGGAGGGGAACAGTGTTGGGGAATTGGGGGAGGGGAACAGCCAAGTTGTTGTCCTTCAATCTTAGTTGTGGAGGGCGCAGCAAGCTCAGCTCCAAGTCCAGTCACGCCACTCAGCTCAGCTCAAGGTGACAAGTTCAGTCTTTAGTTGCAGGTGGGCGTAGCCCACCACCTCAAACAGGCAATCTTGTTGTTAGGAGCACGTGCTCTCATTCGCTGAGCCGTCCTGCCACCTGTTGGCAGCTCAGCGGCAGCTCAGCTTGGGTACAGCTACTGGAACCACGTGGGAATCGAACCAGCGACCCTGTTACTCAGAGCTCGCACTCTTGAGCAAGCTCTTAATCAACTGAGCCACTGGGCCTGCCCCTGGGCATGGATTTTGGAGTTAGACTCCTAGATTTGGACTCCTGAGATTTTGCCTGGATGGGAGAGTGGAGAGTTAACAAGAGATGGGGAGAACTAGGAGGAACGCTTGGCATTCTCTGCTGACAATTGTGCATTCACGTCTGCACCCACAACAGCCCTGGAGTGCCCCTAACCAAGTGGGTGAGGGTCCGGGGAAGGTGACAGTCTGTACCCCCCTTCAGACCTGGACCCCATCGATCTCGACAACATGGCGGAGGTTTCCTTACCCCTGGGCAGCAGCGTAGCCACCAACTGCTCTGTGCAAGGCCTGCCCACCCCTACTCTACGATGGACCAAGGTGAGAGGGAAAGGAGCCCCCAGCCATGGGACCCCCTCCCTCCCATCACCCCCACCCCTTCTCTCATGGTCCACCTGGCCTCTTCTCTCCTCCCCGACCCCACAGGACTCCGTACCCCTGGGGGATGGCCCCACGCTCTCACTCAACCTCATCACCTTCGATTCCGCTGGCACCTACATATGTGAAGCCTCCATACCCACGGTCCCCCTCCTTAGTCGCACTCAGGTCCTCCAGCTGCTGGTTGAAGGTTCGGGGGTAGGGGCAGGCTGGGATGGGGACAATGGGGATGACGGGCCAGGACCAATGGGACAGGTCCATGGCTGGTCCCTATGTCTTCTGTTCTTTTCCTCTCCCCTCTCTCCTTTTTTGCTCCCTCCTTTCCCCAGTGTGCCTTCTCCTCACTCCCTTCCCTCCCACCACCCACAGGGTCACCAGAGTTAAGGCCAGAGGAGATTCAGCCCAAGGCAGAGGGCAGCTGGAGAGAAGGAGATGAAGTCAGGCTGGCCTGCTCTGCTCGTGGCTACCCAGAGCCCAAACTCAACTGGAATCATTTGGGTGGCAGTGTAAGGGACCCTCCTATCCGGTCTGAACCCTCTGGGACCCGGGCACCCTCCCCAAGCCCCAGGGGACCCTGCCCCCTCACCTATCCAAGCATTGTGTCCCCTCTCCTACTTCCTGGGGGACTGGACACCACCTCTGCCCTCACCCCAGCCCTTGATCCCATGGGCCTGGGCCTGATTCAAGCCTCCACAGCCAACAGAGCCAGTCCCCGGAGGGCAGGGCTGGGTGAGCAGCTCCCTGACCCTAAAGGTGACCAGTGCCCTGAGCCAAGAAGGTGTCTACTGTGAGGCCTCCAACCCCCATGGGACCACCCGACATGTCTTTCACTTCGGCACTGGTGAGTAACCACGGTGGTGAGACAGGACCCAGGCGTGGGGCAGACAGAGCACTGCTGGCTGAGCCCTCCTCCTCTGTCTTGTCTCCGCAGTGGCTCCCCAGACCTCCCAGGCCGGAGTAGCTGTTATGGCCGTGGCCGTCAGCGTGGGCCTCCTGCTCCTCGTCGTTGCTGCCTTCTATTGCATGAGACGCAAGGGGCGCTCTGGCCGACAAAGGGAAAAGGGGGCTCTGTGAGTGGCCTGTAACCTCAGAATTGACCTCGGTAACCCAACCCCATCCCTCTATCCGACTCCGACCTCATCCCCAAATCCAGCCCCCAAACCTAGTTCATGACCAACGTCAACAGCATCCTATCCTCAACCCCAAACCCAAATACAGGGCAATCCCATCTCCAACCTCAAATCCCATCTTCCCCATCCCCATAACCATCCCCTCCCCCATCTTCATCCCCAACTACAGCCCCACCCAAGTCATAACCATCCTTCAACTCACCCCATCGCTAATATCTCCAACCCAAATATCATCCCCACCTCCAATCCCAACGCTAAAATAACCATCGCCAAGCCTAACGTAACCCCACGTGCCCCTCCAGCCTCCTCTCCAACCCCCATCTCATTCTCATCCCCAGCTCCAACCCCATCTTCAGTCCCAACCCTACCCCTTCCCCAAACCCATCCCATCTAATCTTCTCTCCAACCCCACCATATCCCCATCCTCAAACCCAACATAACCATCCCCATTTCCAACCCCAACTCCAAGCACACCCCTAACCTCACCCTAAACTCCAACTTCTCCAATCCCAACCTCTCCTCCAACTCTAACCCACAACCAGCACCAAACCCAGCTTCGACCACACCCCTACCCCCAAGGTCCCTCCAACCCCATCTCATCCCCGCCCCTATCTCCAAACCCATCCCCGGTCTAAACTCATCTCCAACCCCAACCACATGGCCACCTTCAACTCTAATCCATAGCCATTCCCAAATCCACCCCCAGAGCTGACCCCAGCTGCGTTACCATCTCCAGTTCCAGCAGCATCTTCGACCCTAGCCCCACCCCATCCCTAAACCCAATGCCATTACTACCCTTTACCCCATCTTCAGCCCATTCCCACCCACCCTCCAAGTCTGTCTGCATCCAGAACAATCTAGCCTCAGTTCCTTGCCCAGCCATGACCACCTCCAACATGCTGCCTCTTCTCTCCAGGCCACCTGGGAAGCCAGAGCTGAGCCACTCTGGGTCCCAGCGGACAGAGCAGACGAGCCTTCTCACGGGAGGGGCCTCTGGAGGAGCCAGGCACGGCACTGGGGGCTTCCGAGATGAGGTGGGTGAGGGCCTGGGCACCCTGGTGAGAGGGGGCCCTGCTGGGGGTGGAGCAGCCTCCGTGAGCACAGGCGGATCTTTCCATCTTCTCCCCAGTGCTGAGCCCAAAGACCTCCAAGAGGCAGTCACTGGACCCGACCTGGAGTTGCAGGCATCAGAGAACCAGCCCTGCTCCTGCCCCACCCGCCCCTGCCTTCCCGGGCTTCCCTCTTCCCCTCCACCCTCCCTTCCTTCCTCTGCAGGCGGACCTACAGCTGCTGCTGCTGGGAGGGAGGGAGGGAGGGAGGGTGGGCTGGTGGGTGGGAGGGGACCTTCCTCCAGGGAGTGTGACTCTCCCAGGCCCCAGAATAGCTCCTGGACCCAAGCCCAGGGCCTGGCCTGGGATGAGGCTCTGAGGGTCGGCTGGCCGGGGCTATTTTTACCTCCTGCCTCCATTGCTGGTCCCCCCCACCTGACGTCTTGCTGCATAGTCTGACACTGGATCCCCACCCCCACCCCCGCCCCCTCATCTGTGGACACTGGAGTCTGGAATAAATGCTGTCTGTCACCTTGACACCATCCTGTGGCCAGAGCCTCCTCTAGGGGATGAGAGGGGAAGGGGCCGCAGGTGATGCTCCCCTCCCCGCTGCTCTCCCGCCCCCTTGCAAGACCTGGATGAAGTCTGATGTCATGGAGAAAGAAATGAGACTGAGAGAGAGCAGAGGGTGACTCAGCTGGCTGAGGGTGGAAGTGAGAGGTGCCTGGGGTCCAGAGGGCGCTGAGCCTTGGCCCTGCTTGGCCAGTGGGGTGCTATCCCCTTAAATAAAAGTTCCCAGACTCTCTTGCCAAAGCCCCAGAGGGAATTGAAGCTTCTAGAGGAAAAACTCTCTGAGCTGTAGAATGGATGGAATTAGGGATGAAGCTGCCTCCTCTGGGAGTGGCACGGTTCCTGCACCTGGGGAAGGAGGGGTGGCTTGAAGGAACCCAGAATAAGGGGCCTGAGGCGGAGAGAAGAGGCAGCAGAAACAACAAGGCCAGATAGAGAGGCTTAATGAGGCAGACAGAGTGATGGAAAGACGGGTGGGGGGGGGCGGCGGTATGGGGGATGGACTGGGGCAGCTCAGAGATGAGAGTCCTAGAGTCAGAGACAGAAAGCTTTGGGGAGAGAGGCAGAGACAAAGAGAAACAGAGAAAGAATTTGGATGCAGAGATAATTACAGCCAGAAAAAAAATGTCGGAAAGGAGCAGCCCGGAAGCAATGGGATAGTGGTGGGAGGTGGGCATGAGTGACATTGTGGCCGAGTGACTTCCCCTCCCTGAGTTAAGCAAATGGAGATAAATCCCACCTGGGTTGCTGTGAGGAGTGGGTGTGACAATCCCCGTGCAATACATGAACCAGGAGGTCTCTGCCATCTCAGCAAGTGACTCCGCCTTGCTGTCCTCAGTTTGCTCAGCCACAAAATGGACAAAGGGGGATCTGTGGCCGAGGGAAATGGGTGAGAGGTGATGGGAACCTCCTGGTAGGTGACCGAGCTGCCTGCCTAGAGGCCCTGGAGCAGAAGATCTCACCAGCCTGATTGAGGTGCTCAAATCCCGTGGTTTATTGAATCAGTTTAAAACAAACGCGAGAATCGAAAAGAGGTGGGCCAGGCTAACACACTTAGTTCAGGGCACAAACCATTAAAGGTCCCCACTACCTGAGTTCTGGGGTACGTATGACTCCGGAATCTCGTCTCTCTCACCGTGGTGTGGTTTCAACCCCCAGAGTGGAAGGTGAGCCAGGGGTTCCACACCCAGAAGGTGCCAGAGCCACGCAGGGGATAAATGTGCATGGCTTTTACCTGTATGACTTGGGCCAGGACTCATGGAACAGAGCTGAAGTCACCAAGGAGGAAGCACTTTAAGAACGTGTGGATCTTGGGGCTTACTTGATCCTTCCATCCTTCGCATCTATGTTTAGCTCACATCCTTTTTTAAATTATTTTTTTAAAAATTTTTATTAAAATATAGCTAACATACATTATTATATTAGCTTCAGGGATACACCATAGGTATTCAACATTTTTATACTTAAAGAAGAGATCACCATGATAGCTGAGCTCACATTCTTAAAATGTCTAACAGGCCTCATGAGTTGCTTCTTAATATCCATCCTTTGTTTTATCTGTCTCCTTATTTGTGTGGCCTTCTTGTTTTCTCCATGACAGAATTGAATATTCTTTTTAAAAATTACAGCAGACACACTCAGAAGATCATAGGTTGGTTGGGAGGATTTGATGAGATGGTGGAAAGTGTTTAGTACAGAGCATGTGCTCAGGACTCGTTTATTATTAGCAGTAGTGTTATCCAAGGGAAATGGAGGGACAGAGAGAAAAGCAAAGTAAGGTCCCCTTGATCCAGGGAAGGGACCAGGTGGAAAGAGATCCCACTCTCAGAGCAGACATTGGTGAGGGGGGCCCTGGGAGAGCTGGATGGGGACTGAACAGATGTCTGGAGGGAGGGGAGAAAGGGGACTCCAGGGAGGAAAGGGTTCTCTGCCCAGCACCTGGTCCCCAAGTTAATGAGGGGAGGGTCCTGGCCCACCTCCCAGGAGGGCATACATTTGCATAAGATCCCTCATCTGCATAGCATCTCAGGCAATTTTCATACAGATGGAAGCCTGAGACCTCTGTCAATCTGACCCCTCCTTCCACCAGAGGGTCTTGGGGAAGAGGAGAGGGGGAGGGGGAGCCTTAGTATCTGGGGGTCCAGGAAGTAAAGGCAAATTTGGAGTAGACTGCCCTTGCTCATCAACCTTCTCTGGCTCCCTATTACTCTCAGGACCATGAGCCTGGCATTCAGGATTGCCCCTCACACTCACCAGCTGCTCCCTCTCTCACACATGCCCCCACCTTGTGCCTTCCTGACTTGACTGCCCTGTTTCCCTGAAAATAAGACCTAGCTGGAAAATAAGCCATGGCATGATTTTAAGTGCCGAAATATGGCACCTGGGCATACTGCATATTTTAAGCTGAAGGAGTTTGTGAAAAAGGCATGCTTCTCCCTGAAACACGTCATGAAACCCTCATGTGAGGGGTGCGTGCCCTCCATATCCTGGAGGAATTCTGCTAGGGCTTCTTCTCTGGCTAGGTCTTATTTTCGGGAAAACACAGTATTTCCCTCACTTGGAATGTCCTTTCCCATTCCCCCCACTCCCGTCTCCTCCCCGCCCCACTGTAACAAAGCTTGCCTGTCCTTCACAGCTTCAACATCTTGAAGGATTCTGAAAAGTTTTCACCCCCCTTTCCCTGCCCTTGAAACTTTTCAGGAATCTATGCCTCTTCTGAACTTCCATAGATTTTATTAGTAAGGATATGTTTGGTTGCAAATGACAAAAAAAATGAAGTAAAAAAATTTGTGTGAATGAAAAGTTATTCACTCATATAACCAGGAAGATCAAAGGCTGGCTACCTTTAGGCAGAGCTATCCTTTTCCATTTGTTCTCCATGTGCAGACAGGGTCTTTTGTCTCGTTTCCCCCAAGCTGCCAGATTTCTACCCTACCAGTTTAGCAACCCCCACCAAAGAAGGGTGTCCCCCTTCTACTAATTCAAGCAAAAACCTCAGGGCTGATTCTCACTGGTCAGTAATGGGTCCTACCCCCATCCCTGAACCAATTCCTGTGGCCAGGGCATCAAATGCTCTGATTGGCCAGGACTGGGTCAGGCTCACTCTGAACCATAAGGACTGAATATAGGGGATTCCTCATAGAAAAACTGGAGAGCGAGGGCTGAAACAAGGAAAAGAGCTTGCCGGACAGGTAAAATACAGTTGACCCTTGAACAAGGCAGGGGTTATGGGTGCTGACCTACTGCACAGTAGAAAATCTGCATATACCTACAACTTGGCACCAGCTCCAAAGCTCACCAGGATACCTTTGGCCCTGTGCCTCTACCTCCTAGTGCTTATGACTCTTCAGTGAAGTGCCACCTCTGGGACTTGTTGACACTGGAAGTTGGCTCCCCAGGCATGGGACCCACCCAGTCATTCCTCAACAAACACAGCAGTGCTCAAGGCCTTATGCATGTGTCTAAGGTGGGTGTGTGTGTGCAACTCCAGCCTGCCCTCCAGGGGCATGTCTCCTGGGCTCACCTATGGCTACAAAGAACAGCCACTCATAGACAGGCCTGGAGAAGAGGGGGTGCGAGGAGGGGGCAGGCCTTCCTGGAAGAAATCTTCTGGGGACTGGTTATTTTGCTGAAGAGGGAAACGGGGGCCCAGAATTATACAAAGCAAGTTAGTAGCAAAGCTGGTACGAAAACCCAGAGATCCTGGCCCTCTAGTCTGGCCCCAGACTGGGGAGAGAAAGACAGAGAGAGCTAGAGTGCATTTATCATGCACCTATTTGTCCAGCCGGCCTCATTCCAGGCTGTGCCAAGCCTGAGATACGTGTTATTTGGAGGTCCCAGCCGACTGCTTCCTTGCTGGGTGGCTTGGGGCAAGTAACCACTCGGCTCAGGGCACTTTTCAGTGAAATGGGGATCATGAGAGTGTCCCCTTCATGGAGTTCTTGTGAGGAATTAAGAGAGGTCACTCAGATCTGCATCTGTCAGTTTATAACTGTGATTTTGGGCCAAGTCACTTCATTTCTCTGTGCCTCGGTTTCCTTATTAAATAGGATACCGGTGTGGGTTGAGATAAAACTTAAGAGTACTCTTAGATCAGTGGCTGGCACGCAGTGTTAAATAACTTTATTAATAGTAATATTATCAAGACGTGAATGCCGGTCAACAAGAGTTTCCACTACTTGAGACCTTGCCCTTCGGGGGAGGAAAGGTCAGGTGTATGGTAGGATGGGGCGGGAGGGCAAGTTTAAGGGGTCCTCTTGCTAGGAAGCTCCCAAGCGTCTGCACCCAGTTGATCAGCTCGGCGCCTCCCTGCCCTAGAGGAACTAGAATGGAGGGATTTCAGGCGCTCGATGGCATCCCCTCCCTCTTACTCCTGCTTCCCGCCCTCACCCCGACCCGCTGGGCGGCCTCACCAGCTCCCCCAGGCAGCCCAAGGAATGTGAAGAGGTAGGTGGGGGTGGGGAGGAGCGGGAGCCGCTGGGGAGAGACAAAGGGGCCGAGTCAGAGCGAGAAACACAAAGACGAGAGGAGGCTGGGAAGATACAGAAGTGGGACAAGGACACGGGGAGGGACTGGGAGTTTGGAGGCCGGACCCTAGCCCAGCCCCGCAGAGGCCCGGAGCGCGGGGACCGATATATGCTGCCCCCTGGCGGACGGACGTGGTAAGGCGGTGGTGCAGATCAGATGTAGCAGGCGAGGGCAGGCGGATGCACCGAGGGAGGGAGAGACAGAGAACAGAGGCGGGGGCAGAGATATCGAGAGAGATACAGAGAAACAAGAGACACTCAAAGAGAGGCACGGAGATACACATACAGATAGACAGACAGAGAAAGACAGACACAGACATAGTGACACAGAGGCAAAGAGAAACACAGAGACACAGAGTTAAAGGGATGGAAAGAAACACGGGGACCAAGTGACACATAAACAGTGATAGAGAGTCCAGAAACACAAAGTGACACTGAAGCGTTAGGACTGAAAGACTCAGAAATAGAGAAATACAGAGACGGAGAAGGAGACCCAAAGATAGTGAGGGACAAAAGACAGAGGCCCTAAGAGAGACAGAGAAATCTAGAAAGAAACGATGAAGCGACTCCCCGAGTCCGAGGCAGAGATTAGGAAAAGAGGATACTCTGAGAAGCCCCTTTACAAACGCGAGAGACACCGGCGACGGAGGGCCAAGGAAACAGAAGTTGAGAGGCGGGAATGGAGTGTGTGGGGGGGTGTTCTTAGAGAGGGGGCGTGGCTTCAGGGGGCGGACCTCTGAGAAGCCGCGTGCCTCAAGCAGGTGTGACAAGAGGGCGGGGCTAGAACTGTGGGCGGGGCTAAGACCAGCAGGCCCCAACTCCCGGAAAGAAGCGGAATAGACTAATGGGAGAGCGGATGGACCGGGGCGGGGGGCGTGGCTTTACGGGGGGCGGAGACTGCCTGAAGGACCGGAGGGGCGTGGCAGAACCTTAATGGAGCCTCCAGTCGAAAGAGGACTCGGCCCTGTGGGGGGGGTGTCCTCGAGAGAAAAGGGAGCGTAGTTAGACCAGTAAGGGGGAACGGTTTGAACACCGGAGAGAGTAGAGAGAATTCTGGGGGAGGGGCGATCGTAGAATCATGGAGGGGCGAACATGGAATCCTGGGGAGCGGCAGGTGTAGAATCCTGGGAGGAGGCGAGTGCAGAATGCCGAGGGGCGGGGAGTGTAGAATTCTGGGAGGGGGCGGGGCAGAAAGCTGGGCAGGACAGTCAGAATCACTGGGAGGGACAACAAGGAATCCCAGGGGTGGGCGGGGCCGGAGCCCAAGATCTGCTTGGCCGGTGGGGGGGCAGGGAAGGGGTGGGTCCTGTGACGTCAGCGAGTCCGAACGGACGGACAGAAGCAAGGGGCCGGGGGCACGAAGCCGGGAGAGTCGAGTCCCTGAGATCAGTGCCGGGAGAACAGAGCTCAGCGGGATCCGGCCAGGAGCCGGAGCCCCTCGGGCACCTGCTCGCCCGCCCAGCCGATCGGCGTACGCAGAGTGGCCCACAGGCCCCCGCCCGGGCCCACTCCCACCCCGGGCCCCCCATGGCCCGGGCCGCAGCCCTCCCGCCGTCGAGATCGTTGCCGACACTGCCGTTGCTGCCGTTGCTGCTAATGCTGCTCCCAGAAACCGGTGAGAGACCGCAGGCGCTCCTCGCCCTTCGCGGACCCAACCCCTCCCCACCTTCTGAGTGGGGGTAGCCTGAGCATCTTCCCCCACTTCTCCCTTAGTTTACCGAGCCCCCTGTCTCGCTCCCCTTTCCTGGCTGGCCCCACCGACTCCGACCCCCACACACCCCATTCTCTCTCTGAGACTCCGATCCTTACCTCTGCATCCCTTTCACCCCCAATCTCCCTCTTAATCCCAACTCTCCATCCTACACCGGACTTTTGTTACCCCCCTACCCCTTCCTCAGACTCTGACGCCAAAAGGGTTAAATCCGAGGCCTCGCGCCTCCTCCCCACCCCGCGCCGTTCTGTTAACCTGGATCTAGGTTTCTGTCTTTGCTTCCTCCCTCAGGAATGGGGGACTGTCTCCCCCACCCCCAGAAGGAGGGTCACGATGATGAGGCGAGATCACCCCCCCCCCGCCCCATTTTTCTTTTTCTCAGGCTTGGGCTTCTGAGGCCCGGGGAGAATTGAGGGCAAGGGGCCAGATGTCGAGGTTTTTTTAGAGGGCGGGGAGCTCGACTTTTCGGTCCCTTGGAGAGACGAGAATGAGAGTTGGGGCGACCTGGGGTGGGGCTCCAGGGAGCTGAGGGCTCTGACTCCTGGGCTCCAGAAAAATTAGGGGCTGGGGGCTCTGGCTTCTGGGTACCAAGTAGAATGAAGTCTAAGGGCTCTGTCTCCTGGGGTCATGGTAGAATTGGGGGCAGGAGCTCAAATTTGTGGGTTCCAAATTAATTGTGAGCAGGGGCCTCTGTCTTCTGGGTCCCAGGCAGAATGGGTGTGTGTGCGAGAGGCCCTATGTCGTGGGCTTCAGATTTAATTGTAGGCACTGGAATGTCTCCTGAGGTCCAGAATGTGAGCAGGGACCCTGTCTCTTGGGCTCTAGATATAATCAAGGTCCGGAGGTTCCGTCTGGAAGCTGGAGGCTCGGTGGGCTGGGTGGACGAGGAGGTGGATTAGGAGGCCTGAGTCTCGCAGACTGGGATCTTTTCTTTTCCGTGTGAGCCTTACGTAGGCAGGGACGTCCCTGGGGAAGTTTTCCCGGTTTCACTTTCGCCGAGCCCGGGCGGGGCGGGGCGGGCGCTCACCTAGCTCCTGGTACCAGACTCCTGAGTTTCGGGACCTTATCTTTCCTGTAGTCGCGCCTTTGTCCTCCGAGCCGCTGCGGGAGGTGGACTCGAGGAGACGCCGCCCTCATCCCCCGTCCCTCCCTCTGCTTAACCCACTAGCCCCCTCCTATTCCCCACCCTCAACCCGGATGGGTGAGGGGCGCAGCCCTCAGGGGAGGAGGGGCTGGGAGGAAACTGGTGAAGCAGGCTCTGGCCCCGCCCCTTGCAGGTGACCCGGTTGTTTATTCCCACCTGGAAGCTCGGGGGTCCTGGGTTTCCCAAGGGTATTTTCCCAAGGATTGTTGGGGAACCTGGGTCACCCCTCCTTTTTTCAAGCATGTCTGTGAGTTGTCTCTCAGCCTTGACTCAGAACTGGGTACTGACTGTCTTTTCCATCCCCTGCCTCTCCCTTCTGTGCCAGAGATAGGGACAAGAGGTCAGGACCTACCACCCCTGGGGGAATGCTCAGGCTCCACCCCACTTTGACCCAGGTGTTGGCTTGAAGCTTGATTTCATGGAAGGCTCCAGGTCACCGTAGGAGACAGGTCCTGTTCTCCTTCCCATTTTGCAGATGAGGACACAGAAGCTTAAGGGCAGGCCACTCTCCCGCGATCCACAGCCAGTCTCACCCTGGGAAGCCAGACTGTAGACTTCAGAGTCTTTCCTGGCTCTGCTCTACCCGGTGGGCTCCAGGAGGTGCCTCTAAGCCTCCATTTCCTCCTTTGTAAAATGGATCACAGCCCCCTCCTGGCAGGGCCACTGAGAGGAGTCAGAGGTCGCACTGATCCCATGTGAAAGCTCGTAGCACCTGGGGAGGGGGCCTTCCTGCTTCCTGACCCTTCATCCCTGTGCCTTCGCTCTCTGCCTCTCTCTCCCTCCCTCCCCCCACCTCAGCCTCTCCTTCCTTCCCTCCCTTCCCCCCCACTCTCCTTCCCTCACTTTCTCTTCCCCTTCATCTCTTCATTTCCTTCTCTCTCTCTCTCTCTCTCTCTCTCTCTCTCTCTCTCTCTCTCTCTCTCTTTCCCGCCCCCTCTATCTCTGTCTCCATCTCTGAGCTTTTCCTCTTTCCTTCTCTCCATCTCTTCTCTGCTCCCATCTCTGTTTACCTGTCTCCGGCTCCCTCCCAAGTTTCCTTCTCCTTGGCCTCCAGGAATGAGGGTTCACCACCTGGGCCTCCTGCTGGGCCAGCTACCTCCCTAGTCCTCTCCAGCGTTCACTGCCCATCCCTGTCAGCCAGGCAGCCCCACAGGAGTGGAGGGGAAGGAAAGAGAGGGGACTGCGGGCCTGCTGTCTCTTCTCATTAAGGAAGGGGGACTGGGCAGAGGGGGTGCATCTGCTCACATACTGGGGTGAGGAAACGGGGAGAGGGATACTTGGAGAGGATTGAGATATAGAAATGGGGACAGAAGCCAATAGAGGGAGGTGGCAGAAACAGATTTAAGGATGGAGTCAGACATAGGGATGGAGCCGAGAGATGGGGGACGGGTGGGGGCTCAAAAGACACTCGGATGGGACAGAGAATGGCAGGGGGAAGACAGCTGGACAGAAACCCCAGGATAAAGGCAGGAACCACCTAAGGAGAGAGACTTAGAGGTTTGGTGACAGGCAGGGAGCCCAAAAGACCTTTTCCATGACTGATAGAGGTCAGGGCACAGCCGCCTCAAGGCCAGCAGTGTGCAGGGCCACAGGGAGTGGTGGACATGGGAGGTACAGGGAGTTGGGCATGACAGCCAGCTCCCCCGCCACTGACTGGGATGCTGTTACATTTTTAATGTCCCAGCGATGCCATGCCGAGAAATGAAGCAGGAGGGGGAGGAGATGAGGGGACCCAGTGAGATGGCTCAGGCAGAGAGGAAGTGTATCAGAGATGTGGAGAGACATGGGGAGACCCAGGAGGCAAGGAGATCTCAGGATCCTAGACAGAGAAAAACAGAGACCATGAAAGATGTGGACCAGAAACCCTCAAGAGACTGGAGATCCGGGGAATAGATGCCTAGAGCCAGATTCCAGAGACTGGGAGACTTGGACCCAGAAACATCTAGACCGCAGATGGTGGAGATACAGAGGAGAGAATATGAGAATGGCCAAGGGATGCGGTATCTCGTCTTCAGCTAGTGAAAATGTTCTGAAATTGATGGTGCTGATGGATGCACATATCTATGAATATACTGCCATTGAAACTGTTCGCTCTAAATGGACGAATTGTACAGTCTGGGAATATGTCTCAATAAAGCTGTTAGAGAGTATATGAGAGACACAGAGCAGAGACCGGGGACTCCTGGGAGACACAGTTAAGAGTGACAGAGACTGTGAGACACAGAGGCAGAGACCAGAGTCCCTAGGAGTTGGGGACACAGAGGGGGCAGATTCCGACCCTAAGAACCAGATATAGAGAGAGACACGAGATTGGAGACAGAAATGTTTAGGTATAAACTCTGGACTGGGCAGAGAAGCATGTAAGGGGTTCTCTCTGAGGGGCTCAGCCAGGAAGAGCAGTCCTGGAGATTGACCCCCAGAAATATGAGACCCCACAGGGGAGGCCTTCAGGGTGTCAAGCCCTTGCCGCAAGGGGAGGCAGGTGCAGAAATCCAGGCCTTGGCCTACAGCCCCATATCCTGGCTACTGCTGCTGCCACTGCCGCTGCTGCTCCTGCACACACACACACACACACACACACACACACACACACACACACACACACACACTGGCTCCCTGATGTCTGCTGTGGGGGTGGGCACTGTGATTAATGCAATTAATTAATTAACGAGGTGGCTGAGGTAGCAGCTGAGGCCAGCGCCTAAAGCACGCCAGCCTTCAAGGGCCTGCTGGAGTCTGGCCACACCTTATGGGAGAGGGCAGGTCACACTGGGGCTTTATAGGTCTGGAGGGGGTGAGCCAAGCCCCAAGGAGCCAGCCAGGCAGGACTCCAGTCTGAGACCCTGGAGGCCAGGCCCCCAGCCCCCTTCTCTAGAGTTCCAGAAGTCACTGCACCTCCTCCTCTCTGCCTTGATCCATCTTTTCCTGGATCTCGGGGTCTCAGGCTCTGTGTCTCTGTCCCCCAAAGTTTTCCCCTGGGCTCACATGCTACACCCTACTCTGCCATTTCAGGAAGCCTGCAGGCCCGGGGCCACAGGGAGAGGAAGTGTGTCTGGGGACCCAGCTGACGCCTTGTGAAAGTGTCACCAGTCCAGCTTCCCAAGGGAAGCTGAGGGAGGCCAGTGTTCCCATGGCCACTGTCCTCCGCTGTGGGGCTGGCCATGTCCCAGCCAAGGTCAGGTCACAGTACAGGTCACAGGCACCTCCCCCGCCCTGGCAGCATGCTGGACACTAGGGTCCTAACTCCAGGCCAGCCTCCTCCAGGCTTCATTTCTCCTGCCTCTGCCTGAAATGCAAATCATCTAGGTATCAGCCTACTTCCCATCGCCCTTATCCTCACAGCCTGTCAGCCTCTATGTCCTCCCGACCATTCCAGCGTCTGACGGTGTTCCATTCCGGTTCATCCTCCATCCCCACGGCCCCTACCCTGGTCCAGGTGCCCTGCTTCTTCCCCTGGGTCCCTGCCCTACTCCATTCTGAAGGCTCTTTCTAAAGTACAAACCTCACCCTGTTCCTCCCCCTGCTCATAACTCTCTGTGGCTTCCCAGTGCCCTCAGGAAAAAGCCCAAGCTCGAACTCAACCTCAACCAGTGCGATCTAGTGCTCTGTTGATTTCCCATTCTCGTCCCATTCATTCATTCAACACATTTATGCGGCTCCTACAGTGTGCCGGGCTCTGGGGGTGCCACAGGAAAACAAAACACAGAAGACAAAGATCCCTACCCCCGGCACTGATGTTCTAGTGGGGAAGATACATCAGGTGCTAAAGGGGAGATGAAGCAGAGGCTGGGGGTTTTTGTTGTCATCGTTAGAGGGGTAAAGACCTGAAGGAAATGAGGGAGGGATCCGTGGGGACCTGTAGGGGAAGAGTGTTCCAGGATCAGGGAACAGCAAGTGCAAAGGCCCCGAAGTGGGACTTGCCTGACACATTTGAGGAACAGTGAAGAGGTCAGTGTGGCTGGAGCAGGGTGAGCCAACAGGAAAGGTTGGGAGATGAGGTCAAAATATAAAAACTTGAGCTTTTTGGGGGGTTAAGGAGAGAGCCACGGAAGGGCCCTGGACAGAGGGGAGGAGCTTGATAGGCTGTAACTTCTAAGAGGAACTCTCTGGCTGCTTATGGGAACAACCTGAGAGGCAACTGCCATCCTCCATGGGGGAAATGACTCAGGGGGTAGGTAACAGTGGATTAGACCAGGATGGGGGCAGTTTTGGGGTCAGATGTGGTCCGCTTGTAGATGTATTTTGAAGATGGAGCTGGCAGGATTTCCTGATGGGATTGCGTGTGGGGTGAGATCCTAAACCTTTTATTGAAATGGAAATGCCTAAAAAATGGACTGGTAATGCCACAGGGGCTGAGCCATCCTGTTCATTCATCCAGAATTAGAAACTTCGAATGGGAACCTGATAGCTACAGGATCTTAGAACCTAGTCAGGGAGGGGAGAGGTGTGTGGCTATCTGGGACAGAGTATTGGGGATGAAAGAATTAACCTGAGGAGTTTGCCCCACAAGAAGCTAAAAGTAAAACAATGACAACAAAAAAAATAATAAAGAAAAAAAAAAAGAAGCTAAAAAGTGGGTGTGTGTTTTTTTAAGCCAACAGTGCTGAGACGTCAACATAGGTATAGGAGGGCTTCCTCCCTTAGAAGAGAAATGGCGGCTTCTTGGAATCATCGGGACTTCCTTAGGACAGGAAATCTGCGTCCCCAAAGGGACCAGAGACCTACAGAGAGAGGGGTGTGGGCTCTGTGGGCCCGGAGCTTGACTTCCCTTGGAAAGGATATCAGGCTCCTCCTCCAGTAAGCCCTCCTGGCCTCCCTCGATGTATCAGGCTACTGCTCTGGGTTCTACCCACCCGTTTCAGCCTTAACAGCATCCTTGATGATGACTGTTTGTGCAATATTTGTCTTTCCCACCAGAATGTCAACTCTGAGAGGACTTGATTTGGCCTGGCATTTCTGTGGCACCTGCTCCCAGTACAGAGCCTGATATTCATTCAACAGTATTTATTGAGCACCTACTACCTGCCAGGCCCTGGTGTAGGCTCTGGGGATACAGGAGGGAACGGGACAGACAAATCCCTGTCCTCAGGGGCTGACCCTCTCATACCCAGGTCCTGTTTGTTGAGTCACTATTTGGATTTGCATAGAGTGGGAAACAGTGGCTGGGGAGAAGCTTGTCTCAGGTTCTGCCCTCTCCCCCTATCACTAAATCTCTTCCAGTTCTACACTCAGTCTCAGCTTTAATTTCTGCATCTTTCTATTGGCACCTTTTCCGGGCCCTTTTGCTATCTGATAATCCATTTCTGCCCAGCTCCAACTTCCCTTCAGACCCCTTTGGTTTAAGCCAAGTCATTCTCCAACTAAGGGACCCTCAATGGCTCCCACTTGCCTTAAGTAGAAAACCTAATTATTTAGTCCCACCCTACTTTGCTTTCCTTAGCTCACCAGTCTGGATGTTTTTCCTGAGTGCCCTTCCCTCCTCACCGGGCCAGAAAGGTACAGAGCCTTTGGGCACCCTTGTCCCACACTCTGCTTTTGGGGGCCAGGTGGGTGGTCCTGGCACCTAAGGGAAGGGGGTGGCCCTGACCCTTCCTCAGCTTCACCTACCTGTTGTGTCCATCCTCATCCCGCCCCCCACCCCCACCCCTGCAGCCCCATATCTTTTTTTGTCTCGATTTTGACATTTAATCTCCAGACCCTTCTGTGCTGCTAGTTCAGTTTGAAACAATGCTGTAAGGGCCAAAAGTAAATACAAGTGAGAGCGGATTTGGACTGCAGCGGGCAGCTGCCCACCTCTGCTTGACTCAGGATCGTGCTAGGCACTATGAAGAGCTTATGGGAGAAAATCATTTCATGGAATTGTCACAGGGTCCCCTGTGACAGTTTTACAGATGGAGGCGCCTAGGCTCAGAAACAAGGTCACCCACCTGGAAAGAGCCAGAAAGAAGCCCATGGTGATCTGCTCCAGGGTCTCACACTGTGGAGACTCTGCAGTGTGGCTCCTCCAGAGGGGTGCAGCCCCATCTCCCAACATGGCACCACTGGGTTTGAGTTGCGGGACGTGTGTGGGAATTCCATGAGATTGTGTATTATCACACAATGGCCTTCACTGATAAAAGTCTCTGGGACTGTCCCCTGCCAGAGGATCTGTCAGAGAGAGCTGAGCCGCAGTTGCCTCTTGAGAATGGGGTCATGTGCCCTTGGCCTTTCCTCGAGGCTGAGTGTCAAGGGCCACTTGTAATTATACTTAGCTGGCTGTGTTTATTTAATAAGCACTGATCTCATGTTTCCTGTGGCCCTGAGCAAGTGCTCTACAAATATTGCTTAATGCTTATAACAACCTCTAGGAGGTGGGCACAGTTATTATCCTCATTTTACAGCTGAGTAAACTGAGGCACAGAGAGGTCAAATGACTTGCCCAAGGTCACACAGCCAGCAAATGGCAGAGCTAGGATTCGAACACAGGCAGTTTATATCAGTCGCCATGCTGTCCTGCCTGGAACAGCAGAAAAATCTTCTTTATTCCAGTCTTTATTAAAAGTGGGAAAACAGGCCAGTCAGCGCCTTTTGAACTTCTTTTGCTCGGCCCACTTCAACTCTTTGGAGTGTACTTTCTCTTCTAATAATGGCCCTTGAGCCATTCTGTACGGCTCGGGCCCGCTTCTATTTCTTTGAAGTGTACTATCTCTTCTAATAAGCTGCTCTTTTACTACTTTAAAAAATAAAAAAAGTGGGAAAACAAAAGATAAGCTGAGAAAGAAAAACATATATTCACAAAAAAACTTGGACCTAAATGTCCCCAGCAGCTTTATTCATAATTGTCCCAAAGTGGAAACAACTCAAATGTCCATCAACTGAATAGATAAACAAAATGTGGTCTATCCAGACAATGGAATATTATTTGGCCACGAAAAGGAACAAGGTGCTGTCACATGCTGCAGCATGGACGAAGCTTGAAAACATGCTGAGTGAAATAAGCCAGCCACAGAAGGCCACGTATTTATATGAAATGTCCAGAATAGGTCAATCTGTAGAGACAGAAAGTAGATGAGTGATAGCTAGGGGCTGAGAGGAAGGGGGAACAGGACTGTTTAATGGGTACAGGGATTTCTTTGGGGGATTATAAAAATATTCTAAAATTGATTCCAGTGCTGGTGCACAACTCTTGTGAATAAACAAAAGCCATTGAATTATACACTTCTAATGGATGAATGGGAATTATATCTCATCAAGCCCGTTTAAAAAAAAAAAAAGATAGGCTAAGAGAGATGTAGGTTTTATAGAAAGATGAGGGAAAGTATATTACTGTGCAGAAAAGGATGAAGACAATCCTCACACTTCAAATGTTTTAAAATTTATTTTGTGATAGGCTTTTTAAATTTTTATTTTATTTCGTTTCAAAGGACTTTTTTTTCTCCTCCCAAAATCTGATACTGAAAAATTTCAAACGTGTACTGTATGAGTTGGAAGAATGGCCAGGAGCCTCCCTCCCCCTTCCTGCTAGACTTGACAGTGGGTCACATTTTGCCACGTTTGCTTCATCTCTTTTCCTGTACATGTTTTTGTTTTGTTTTTTTTGCTGAAAAAACATTTGAGAGCACATTACAGACGTGACATTTCAACCCTGCATCTTCTAAGAAAAAGAAATACTGCATAATCACAATTTCATCATAACATCTAAGAATATTAACAGTAATTCCATAATAGCATGCAATCTGTTCTGGACTCAGATGTCCCTAGTTTGCCTCAAAATATCTTTTCTGACTGGCCTTTTTGGAATCGGACCTTGAAAAGGCTTGTGCATTGCATCATGGCCTGCATTTCTCCCTGGGGCCCCCTCAATGATGGCCCTGCTGGGCCCGGAGATGTCTGGGTCCTTCCCCCCACCTGACTTCTCCCTTTCCTTTCTTCCCAGGAGCCCAGGATGCACGAGTTCAAATGCCACCTGAGGTACGGGGCCGCCTGGGGGACACTGTGGAGCTGCCATGCCACCTACTGTCTCAAGGACCTAAAGGCAATGTCTCACAGGTGACATGGCAACGCCTGGACCCACCTAAGGAGGGCCAGAGTGTGGCTGCCTTTCACCCTTCCCATGGTCTCAGCTTCCCCAGCCCACAGTTTAGCAAGGATCGGCTGTCCTTCCTCACCATGGGACAGAGCCCTGGGGCTAGGCAAGGCCCGGAGATGGAGATGCGGGATGCCACGCTGGTCCTCCGGCGGCTGACTGTGGAGGATGAGGGCAACTACTCCTGCGAGTTTGCCACCTTCCCCCAGGGCACCAGTCGTGGGGTGACCTGGCTCAGAGCCATAGGTAAGCAGCGGTGGGAGGGCAGGGAGGTGGGAGGGGCGCAGTGTGGGAGAGCCCCCTTGTGGGTTTATTTCTCTCTCTCTGCTTTCCCCATGGTCTTCAGTCAATTGGCAAATACTCATTAAACACCTACTGTGTGCCAGACGCTGTTCCGCAAATTGGGGATACAGCAGGCAACAAGGCATTCAACAGATATATATCAAGTACCTACTGTGTGCCAGACACTATTCTAGGTTCTAGGAATAAGCAGTGATTAAAACACAGCTCCCTGCCCTCCTGGAGCTTATACGCCAATAAGGGGGTACCAGGGAGTAAATAACATAAGAAAAAGAAGAGTGAGTCAGGTGGTTCTAGGTGCTGTGGAAGTTGAAGGGGAGCAGGTTACAGTTTTAGCTAGGGTGGTCTGGTGATATTTGAACAAAAACTGGAAGGAGGTGAGGGAGCCCTGCAGTTCTATCTAAGAGAAGAGAGTTCCAGGCAGAGGGAATTGTAAGTGCAAAGGTCCTGAGGCAGGGTGCACCTGGAATATCTGAGAAAGAGCGAAAAAGTCCCCGTAGCTGGAGATGCATGAATGGGGGAATGTCAGGACAAGGTCAAGGAGGTGGTGGGCAACATGGATCACAGACAGCCTCGTAGACCACATGAAGACTTTGGCTTTTGCTCTGGGAGAACAGAGCTACAGAAAGTTCTGAGCAGAGAAGGGTGTGATCTGACTTGGGGTTTCACAGGCTCCTTCCGGCTGCGTGTAGGGGGTTGAGGGTAGAAGCTAGGAGATCACAGAGGAGGTAATTGCATAAGTCCAGATAAGCGGTAATGGCAACTAGACCAAAGTGGGGGCAGTGGGGGTGGGGGTGGGAAATATTTTAGAGGTAAAGCCAGAGAATAATCAAATTAGTGAACAAAGGGAACACCAGGATGTTGTAACACTCACTCAGAGTAAGAGACCACTGCAGTGGCCTTATTTAGATAGAATGTTCCAGAAAAACCTCTTAGTCAAGTCCTGAAGTGTAAGAAAGAGCCCCCCATGGGCACAAAGCCACAGGCAGAGGAATGGATGCACAGAGGGAACACATATGCAAAAGCTGGGACATGAGCGCGAACTTGGCGTGTTCCAGGAAGAGAAAGGAAGCTGGGGAGGCTGGTGACCAGGGCTTGAGTGACTTTCAACAAGGCAGGAAAACCAACAGGGCCAGACTGCGTGGGCCTCACAGGAGGCTAGACTTCATTCAGAGCCATCGGAAGGGTTCAAGCATTGGCTTGGAAGAGGCAGACGCAGGGGATGGTGGGTAGAAAGAAGTGGATAGAATAAAGGCCACTTTAAGGCGATAGTAGGGTGCTTGTCCGTGAATTGGGGATGATCAGGAAGGACTCCCAGCCTTCTGGCTCCAATAGGAGGGTGACTAGCACAACCATTTAGTGAAATGGGGCCAGCTCAGAAAAGGCATTTTTTCAAAAGATGCTATTTCTTGCTAAATCTTGGCATTCGCCTGGAATCTCACCTTCTGCCGGCGATGTCCCAGAAGCCATATCACTCTGGACACTTTATTTACCCTCCCTGCCAAGCCCCAGAGAGTTTCAGACCACCTACCTTATACCGTTTCCAAGTAAACACTTCTCTTTTTAAGGCGCTGAAACCACCGTTTTGCATAGCTCAAAGCACAGCTCTTCTCTCCCCAACCCCTCTCAGATGCCTCTCTTCTTGTGCAATCACTTGTTCTGCTCAAGAGATACATAGAGAGCACCTACCATGCACCAGGCACCTACCACTAATGGGCGAGAGTCAGCTGTCAGGAAAGTTCCCTTGAGGAAGTGAGGCCAGGATCTGGAGAAGGGAGGCCAGAGGATTTCAAGCACAAGGTCCCCAAGACCCCTCAGTGGGTGGGAGCAGGGGCTGGGGGGCAGAATGGGGTGGAGTGCCTGCAGCCATCAGAGGACAGATGGGAGGGTGACCAGGGAGGATATGAGGAGGCCCATCGGCGGCTCTGTGGTGGTCCAGGAGAGAAGGGGGAAGAAGAGGAAAGGAGAGGGGGCTATATCACATTAAGCTCAGGAGATACCCCGATGGAGAGGTCCGGAAGGCAACTAGAGAAGTGAGTCGGAGCTCAGGGAACAGACTGGTTATGGACACACATCAATAACTATGGTTGGCATTATCGTTCCTCATGGAGGTTTTTATTCCTCCCAATATTTTTCCATGTTTTCCAGGGGGATGGGTGAAAAGGGCAAAAATGTATGAGCTTTGGACATCTTCGTTGCCTTTTTCTCACTTCGGCCACCACAAGCTAATGGTGATTATAGGAAAAGAAGTAGGAGACTTTGCAGATGAACCTCTGAACCATATTGTTCTGCTTTGGCTTTTCTTTTTAAATCTCAGCCTTTGCCAGGTTTTTGGACGCTGTCTCTGCTTTTCTAGCAGAGCAGAACAGATAATATAATAACTAACACTTAGGTAGCACAGTGAGTGTCAGGTACTGTCCAAAGTGCTTTACGTATCAATTTATTTAATCCATACAACAATTCTATGGGATGGGTACTTTTATTATCACCACTTTACAAAAGAGGAAACTGAGGTACAGAGTTGAGAAATGACTTGCCCAAAGCCATGTAGCTGCTAAGCAGCAGAGCTGGGATTTGAACCCAGGCAGTTGGCGCTTCACTGCTCGGCCCCTCTGCTGAGGTGTTTGTTGAATGACTGCAGGTAAGGAGTGACACACCCGCTCTGTTCTCCCCAGCCCAGCCCGAGAACCACGCTGAAAAACAGGAGGTCACACTCAGCCAGGAGCCTGTGCCCGTGGCCCGCTGTGTCTCCACGGGGGGACGCCCACCCGCTCTAATCTCCTGGTTCTCGCCCCTGGAGGGGAAGGCCAGCGAGACCCAGGTGTCAGGGCCCCAGCCGGGCACAGTCACCGTCACCAGCCGCTACACGTTGGTACCCTCGGGCCAAGCAGATGGTGTCAAGATCACCTGCAAAGTGGAGCATGAAACCTTCAAGCAGCCAGTCCTGATGCCTGTGACCCTGTCTGTGCGCTGTGAGTGCATCAGGGTGTGACTGCACCCCCAGTCCTGTCTAGACTGGCTTCTCTGGGGTCCTGTCTAGACTGTCCCTGAGTGTTGTCTACCTTGGCCCTCTGCACTGCTTTCCTGCACACTGTCTACACGTCTACACTGGCTCCCCAGGCAACATCCACACACTGCCCCCTCGCTGTCTACACTGGCTTCACTAGGCGCTCTCCGTGCTGCCACAAACAATGGTAAACACTGCCCCCAACTGTTCCCTCACTGTCTATATCAACTACTCTGGGTCTACGCTGCCCAACCCAACATTGTCTATACACACACCTCCCATTTACGCTGTCTAAATTGACATCCCTGGGCACTGTCTATATTGACTCTCCTGGGGTCTCTACACCAACTCCTGCCCCCCAAATGATTCCCATCATCCCCGCTGGGCCCTGTTAATACTGACCCCTTCCAAGACGTTTTATGCTAGCTCTTCCAAACACTGACATCCCCTAATATTGCCCATAGAGGCTCCCCCTGGCATGCTTCCCACAGGTCCTGCCAAATAGTGACTTTACCAGCTATTCCAGTCACCTTCCAAACATACCCCGTACCCCATCTCAGCATTTTCTATCTACACTGCTCCCCAGGCAATGTCTTCAATTAAACATTTAACAAGATTTAATCAGATTCCCTTATCTACTCTGGGCATGTTGGAAATAACACACATTGTCTATAGTGGCTCCCTCCGGCACTGCCCGCCCTGAACAATAACTTCCTCAAAGTGATCGGAGTGGCATCCGGGGACAGTGTCTATACTGCAGACACAGCCCAGATGGATTTGCTCCTGGCAGTTTCCATGGGTCCGCCTCCTGCCAACCCACCCCGTTTCGATAGCATTCCTACCTATCTGCTTACTATCTTATTACCTATCACCTCCTTTGGGATTCTCCTGTTTCTGAGCCAGTCCCCCCATTTTCTCCAGACCCCCCTGAGGTCTCCATCTCTGGCTACGATGACAACTGGTATCTCGGCCGTAGTGAGGCCACCCTGAGCTGTGATGCCCGCAGCAACCCAGAGCCCACAGACTATGCGTGGAGCACGTGAGTCCTGGGTGGACCTGGACTCCTGGGTCTGAGGGAGGAGGGGCTGGGGGCCTGAACAGTAAGTCCTCCAGAAGGAGGGAGCTGGCAGTCTGGGGTCTTAAACAGTAAGCTTTAGGTCCGTGGAGCTTGGCTCCTGAGGGCTGTGTCATCAGGGACCAAGCCTATGCTCCTCTGTGGACCCTGCTGTCCCCCTCACATGACCCTCATATCCTCCAGGACTTTGGGCGTCTTACCAGCTTCAGCAATAGCCCAGGGCCCCCAGCTCATCATCCACGTGGTGGACAGGCTGGTCAATACCACCTTTATCTGCACCGTCACCAATGCCGTGGGCACAGGCCGCGCTGAGCAGGTGGTCCTCGTCCGAGGTGAGCGGGTCTTGGGGGCGGCATGTGACGACTGGGCCTGCTCCCCAAGTATTCCTCCCCTCTGGTTCTGGGGCTGCGTTGGGGGAGGCTGTGCCGCCGGCCGGGGGAGTTATCCAGACCCGCCTCGCTGATGGGAGAGGAGGGCGGTGTGGCTTTTCTCTCTTGTCCCCAGGTAGGATCTGGGTCGGGGTGACAGGGCAGGTGTTGACAGAGGAGTTAGGAGGTTGAGGTCTGTGCTGGGGGCTTTCTAGAAAGGAGACACCTGGAAGGGTCTGATTCGGAAAGAGATGCAGGGACATTGCCTTGACACACCCACAGAATCACACAACTAATTGTAGGAGAGACACGTCTGACGGCTAGATAGAAATACACTCAGAAACACGGATTTCTTCTTTACATTTTATTGGGGAACAGCCACGATCCTTAGTTGCACATCGCTTTCATGCTACAATGGCATAGTTGACTCTTTCAAGGAGGGCGCAGCTCACAGTGGCCCATGTAGGGATCGAACCGGCAACCCTGGTGTTAGCAGCACCACGCTCTAGTCAACCGAGCTAACCGGTCACCCGAAACATGGATTTCTTAACAGTGAGTGCTGGCCAGTACCATCTGGAAGCCAGTTTTGGTGCATGTGGAACGTTTGTGGTTCTGGAGTTGGTACTTTGGAAATGGTGGCTGATAGTGAAATAGGTGTCTGTGGGTGGGAAGTTCTCCGAGTCTCCTTGATATGAACTCAGAGATGCAACACAGACGGGCCCCAAGACACACAGCCGGAGAATAAAAAGCACAAAGGCAAGCTCAGCCTGTGCACTGATGGAAGTGGGCTCGAGGTCACAACTGTAGACCCACACACCTAGAGGGAAGCAGGGACTGTCACAGGGCCACGTGCCCCAAAACTCAAACACACTGGTCCTGTGGCTGGGAACAGAGGCCCCTTCATGTCAGAGCCACAGCCAGCAGGACCCGCATGACAAACACTCCCTGTGTTTCAAGATTCATTGGGATCAAAACAGACAGTCGTCCACAACGTAAACCCATTGTCACCACGACACACACCCCCTGAGAGGACAGCCAAGACGCTGAACAAAGCCAGATAGCAGCTAGAGCCCGCGAGACGCCACACATACCTAGAAAGAGCTATTGTGGGAAACACCCTCCCAGTGTGACTGCCACATGCCTGTGCAAACACACAACACGGGGGACAGTGGCCTGGGGCCCCTTAGAAACATGACCACAGACAGGGGTGAAGACAGACACCCCATACACAGAGACAAATGGAAACAGACCCCCTTGCTGAAACATAATAGTACGTACACACACACCTGGAAAGATACCCAAGTGACAACAGACCCCGCTTCAGGAATTCAGACACGTGCCAGGGAGACATGATGGACCTACTTAGAGACACTGTCACAAACAACACACCCAGATACCCAGAGAGACAGCTGGCCTGCCCTCAGCACATTGTCATGCTCAGGTACACAAACACGCACACCTGAAGGGAGACATTATCACACGGAAACGCTGGAGGGGAAAAGGATGGTAGACAGCAACAGTCCACACACAGAGACACTATCACTCATACACATGCTGAGAAAGAAACCCCACGACAGTCTCAGGGTGCACGCCCTCAGAAACTCTCCATAAGCCCCGTTATAGAGATTCTCTTTCAACAAATCATCATCTGACAAATATTTGTGGAGGTTTCCTCTCGGCCAGGCTTTCTCCTTGATGCTGGGAATACAAAGACAAACGAGACGGAGTCCCTGCCCTCGAAGGCACACCCAGAGGAGGTCAGCTCCACCCACCCAGCAAGGCACCCAACTGGAAATACACCCATGAACCTCTACCCCAGAAACACACCCGAGAATCGGGTCCCCACCCACACTTGGTCACTAGGCACCTCCAAGGGGTGCAGCCTGCAGAACACAGACGCAGTCACACTTAAGAGGAATACACAGCCATGAAAACATGCCCCCCCACCACCAAAAAAAAAATAACCCACACAGAAACCCCAGGGTTGTCCACCCCTGGGAACACACCAGCCTCAGAGTTGAGCCCTTTGGCGGTATTCGCCCAGTGAAACACATACTCAGAGGCCCATCACAAACCGGGGACGGGCGATACACACAGAATCACCCCCCCCAGAGAAAGACTCAGCACTAAGGAAGGACACCCCCTCCTCCCTGACTACCCCAAAGGTAACCACAGATACACTCAAAAACATCATGGAAGACACTCACCTACAGGTGGATGCCAACAGAAATGGGGACATACTCCGAGCATCCTAGAAATCCAGACCCAGACAGTGAGTGTGCCAACAGATAGCCTCCCCCAGAGAGAAAACTCCCAGCTCTTAGCAGAGTCATGCCCCGAGGGGCTGAGGGACACATCACATCCTCACATGCACACAGACCCAGACACACTGTCATAGACACAGTGTGGGGTTCCTGCCAATGAAAACATAGGTACCCAGGCCGCACCACAGGGTAGACGTCACTTCAGGGAGACTTCGGAGAACTTTCAACCCACAAACACACAAACACTCACCCGCCGTCTCATAAGTACCACCTCCAGAAACATAGACGAATGTTCCAACACACACTAAAGCTGGTTTCCTGATGTGCTGGACAAAGTCTGTCTCATGCTTCCTCACAGTGTCCAGGGAGAGACATATTCCCTCCCCAAAAAGGTTCACAAAATACGACTTACCCTTCGTACCTGAGGTACACTTTCTCATTCTGCTTTTTTTACGGCTGCTTGCAAGTCACTAAACTGATTTGACAGCCTACTGGGTCGTGATCCTCTTTTTGAATACATCCAGCAATAGATGCCCACCGGAGCCTGAGTCCTAGCCCCTCCTGTGTGCAGAGGTGCGGGGAGGGTCGGGTTGGGTGTAAGTGCCTCCCCGGTCTCTCCTGGGCGGGCCCTACATGCAGGAGGTGGGGAGGTGTGTGTCAGATAAGGTTCCCATTGCATCGTGTCTGTCCCTGGTGTGGGGCCCCCTCCTTCATTCTTACACCACCCTCCTGAGCCCTCCCTGGCTTTCTTCTCCACCTCCCCCAGACCCCTCCTTTCCCACCAGCTCAGCCATTGCCAGGAACACTGGAGGGAGAAGGGACAGTAGGCTTTGTGAGCCCCATTTTCCACACTGGGGACAACTGGTCCAGACAAGCGGAAGGCCATGCCACCCAGACCAAGTGCTCTCAGTGCTCTGAGGGAGTAGCTCTCAGTAGGCCCCTCATCCTTCTGTTCCCCTTCTCTCAAGTGCCAAAAAGCTTTGGAATCAGACAGCCGCAAACTCATCCCCAGGGGGTCGCAAACTCACATGCTTACTGGGTCCTGGCAAGTGATCTGGAGGCCAGGTGTGGAACTCCGCTCCCTTTCAAGTCACCAGCCTTCACTCAGCTACAGCTTACCACCAGGTGGAGATGAGAGTTTGGTGTTGCAAGATCTGATTTTCCCCCCCAAATGGAATCTGGAATTTTCTGTGAACTCACCTGGTTTTTGAAATGTTGGCTAGCAAGTTTAATAACACTGTATGGGGTGTAAGGCAACACATCTGGGGCCACCAGCTGGCAACCCTCCGTGTACAAAGCGCCCACCCTGTAGCGAAGAGTGAGTGGGTTCTCCCTTCCCCCACCCCCTCCATTCTGCCCAGTCATCTCCCTAATTCCTGTCACTGCCCCCACTCCGTCCCCCGCAGATGTATCCTCTTGACCTCGTGTCTCCCTTTCTCTCACCCCTCCTTCTCTCTCCTCAGACACCCCCCGGGCCTCGCCCCGAGATGCGGGTCCAGTGGTGTGGGGGGCCGTGGGGGGGACACTGCTGGTGCTGCTGCTTCTGGCTGGGGGGTCCTTGGCCTTCTTCCTGCTGAGGGTGAGAAGGAGGAGAAAGAGCCCTGGAGGAGGAGGAGGAGGAGACGGCGGGGGAGGATCCTATGATCCGAAAACTCAGGTGTTTGGGAATGGGGGCCCCGTCTTCTGGACGACGACAGCCCCTGGACCCCTGAGGCCAGATGGCAAGGATGCAGAGGAGGACTACGAGGAAGAGGAGGAGAAGGCAGAGAAAGGCCTCATGTTGCCTCCACACCCTGCACTCGAGGATGACATGGAGTCCCAGCTGGACGGCTCCCTCATCTCCCGGCGGGCGGTTTACGTGTGACCTCCAAGACAGACAGACAGAAAGACAGAGACAGAGCCGCCGGTACCAGCCAAGGGTTCCAGACTGGTTGGACTCGTTTGTCTGGAAGACACTGGAGCTCAAATGCTACCTCCCACTTTCCTGGGATTCAGAGGGAGGTGGAATACACACACACTGGACTTGTGTCTCCAGGGCTGCATGGGGGAGAGAAGGGGGACCCACAGAGGACCCCCCCCAGAGACTTGTTTTCGGCTCTGGCCTGCCCCAGCCCCTGCCCTATGACACTCAGGAGTTAATAAACACCTTGGAGGAAAACATCGGGGGTGTTTTGTAATACATCGGACCCCCTCCTTGGGGGGTGGGCCAGGGACTGCTAGGTCTTGGGGTGGGAAGAGCAGAACCAGGCCTCAGGGAATGGGAGCCTGGTGGAGCGACTTAGGGATGCTGGGGGGCTCTGATCATTTGGGTCTTTGAAGGACACCATGGATGCCGAGAGCTCCGAGGACAGTGGAACTGGGAACTGGGCTTAGAAGCTGGGGTGCTTGGACTCTAAGGTTCTAAGACCAAAGCTGCCTTTCCAGGTGCAGTGGCCAGACCAGTGGGAGGCCTGCCTTCCCCGAGAGAGTGGGGCTGCGGTCTCCTGGACTCCTGGGTCCTTGCAGGGGTGCTATGGTCTCTAGGGGCAGCTCAGATGCAACCCCCAACGAAGGTTGCTGAGGATCTTGGCAGGGAGGGCAGCCCCCCTGCATTCTCAGCCTGAGGGTGCAGGGCAGGCGGGGATACTGAGGACCCAGGAAAGTCCCACCTCTTCACACCACAGTGGCTTTTCCCAGCCTCCTCCTCCTGTCCCTGGGGGTGCAGCCAGAGGGGATTTTCAGTGATTCAGAGGGAGGAGCTGCAGCCAGAAAATCTCCCAATGGCAGGCTGGGGACTGAGGTGAGTGGGAGGGGTGGGGTTAAATTCCAGTCACCTCTGCTCTCCAGCCCCTTGGCTGCCTCTGTAAAACGCGGGTGCCCTTCATCCCTGCTCCTGAGGCTGTCATGGGACTCAGTAAGGCTGATCCCAAACCCTCAGCCCTGGCTGCCTGCGGCGGGGTGGTGGGGTAGGGGTGGGGGAAGAGGGGGGACGTTGGTGAATTCACTTCTACCAGTTTCAACTTCCATTTACTGCTGGGGACTCCAGCAGACTGAGCCCTGCCCACCCCACCCCCCCACGTGCAGTCAGTAAGGATGACAGGAATAACAGTAATTTTAAGATGACCGGGTATGGGCTGTGGGGCAATTAACTCTGATATTCTCCCACACTCAAGCCCTCCTAAGGATGCCAGGCTGTGGAACAGGAAGTTGTGGCAATCAGAAAGTCCAGGGATCCAGACATGGTTCCTTTGGGGGCTTTATCTCCATATCTGCGAAGTGGGCTTGAGGGAAGAAGGCTGGGGCTGGGGCTTTTGCACACGTGTTTTTTCCTCTGGTTGTTTATTGTTGGGACCATCCTTTCCAGTCCCCCGCCCCTCCTCCCACCATGGGAGGGTAGTGCCAAGAGGGCTGGGGTGGGAATTTTGTCAATCTAGCATACGTTAGGTCCCATGCGCCCATGCCGGCCCCTCCTTACACACCTAGCAAACGCCAACTGTGTGCCAGACCTGCCCCTTGGAGCTCACAGTCTAATGTGGAAATTGGCAAGCAAACAGGTAATTGCTCCAATAACAACTTTAGGAAGTGGGAAGTGCTACACAGGCGAAGCCAGGGGGCCATGGGCTTGTCTCACGCCTGTTTCCTGTTAGGTTGGAGGAGCTCTGATCCTCCGCCCAGGATGACTCCATTCCCTGTAATGAATTGAATGGGTCTGACCCCAATCCCAGAATCCCCCTCAATTCTCTGCCTTTTAGCCCCACCCCACCACCCCCTTCCCTCATCTCCCGGCACCCGCCTCATCACTCTGCTCTGGCCACATGGTCTCCTTGATGTTCCTTAAAAGCATGAGGCTTCCTCAGGGCCTTTGCACTGGCTGTTACCTCTGCCCGAATGCTCTCATATTCTCATGGCTCACACCTCACAGCTCCTTCGGGTCTTTGCTCAAATGTCACCTTGCAGTAAGGCGCTCTCTACCTGTCACCTTCCCCACTATGTAGTTTTATCCTACATTACTTACTGCCACCTGGCATATTAGCTATTGTATTTGGTTCTGTACTGTTGGTCTCCCTGCCCAACTAGAACGTAAGCTCCCTGGGGATAGGGACTTTTGTAGGTTTTGTTCACCACTCTATCCCACAACAAATGCTCAGTAAGGATCAGTTGAGTATAAGAATGTCCCCTGCCCTTGGGAGAGGAGGTAGGCAGGTGGGTGGTGACTTGCGGAGGGGGGCTAGGAATAAAGAGCTGTGGCTTCCTCCTGGAGACCCCTTCACACTGTCCCTCTTCTTGCAGAGACCCCCAACACAGCAGGCGCAGGGGCCACGGGTGGCATCATCGGGGGCATCATCGCGGCCATCATCGCTACCGCGGTGGCTGCCACAGGCATCCTCATCTGCCGGCAGCAGCGGAAGGAGCAGAGGCTGCAGGGGGCAGAGGAGGAGGATGAGTGAGTGATGGGCCCTGAGAAGTGGCTGGGGGAGGGGTCCCAAAACTGGGGAGCCCAGAGTGAGAAGTAAAAGTGGGAGAAAACCATTAGTAATGGCTGTGTGAAACCAAGAGACCCGAAATAACTGTGATTTAAATGCGGTGGAGAGGAGTTTCTGTCTTCCACAAGTGTGGGTATGACTGTTGCACTCTGTGATGTCATCAGAGCCCACGCTCCTCCTAGCTCCACCTTTGTGGCCTTTGCTCACATTTCAGGATTGCTCCCCACTCTTCTATCATTGTCTGTGTATTTGACAGCCAGATATGGCTATCCCGGCCTCAAAGCCCCCATTCCTGCCAGTGAGAAAGGGAAATGCAGTAATAGAGGGCAGACCACTGCCATATAAGGGAACCCATCACTTGCTCTCGCTTCCCATTGGCCAGAACCTATTCACATGACTGTCCCAAGCTGCAGGAGATACTGGACATGTAGTCTTTATTCTGGGTGGCTGTATGATCAGCTAAAATCTGTATTAGTATGAGAAAGAAGGAGCCTGGATATTGGGGGGCACTAGCCACACCTCTCTGTGTGGAGTACTTGTTATGTACCAGACATGGCGTGATGCATTGTACATGCATGACTTCAATGAAGCCTCACATCCATTCACTGATTCAAGTATTCAGAAAGTACCCACTCAGGGTCAGGCCCTGGAGGTGAGGAATGCAATGATGAGACAAACAGTTTTAAAATATCCACACACATAAATGTATCATGGAAACATAAATTCTCACAGGGAGCTAATGATAACCATTTATGAAAGAGGAAACAGGTTCAGAGAGCTGAAATCACTTGCTGAAGTTCATCCAGCAATTAAGTGTTTGGGGGGGGGCAACATGGTTCTGAAATAACACTATCCAGTGGGGGGGGGGTGGCAGGGAAACACTTCTTAACAGTGCATATTCCTAGGCTTACACCAAACCTACTAAATCAGAACTTTTACAAGAAGGGCCTGGAGTCTGTATTTATAACAAGCTCCCTAAGTTATTCTGATGCACAAGACAGCATATGAACCACGTCTTAACCATCTAGTCAGTGCAAAACAACATCTTGCTATTGATCTCCTCTATGCTCAGCCCAGTGCTGAGACCCAGTGGTGCCTGAGATTGCCCTGGCCCTGTCCTCCTGGAGTTCACAGTCTAGAGGAAAAAGACCGTCCCCAGTGATGGTCCAGCATGGCCAGGGATGGGCTAGGGAACCTGAGAGAGACCAGAGGGAGACATCTGAACTTGGGGTTAAAGGCATACTAAGTACCCATCATTATTATGTATACAAGATGCTCTGATCTGTGGGTATGTAGAATAAGGGAACTTAACATTGTTTGGGGGGCAGGAAAGCATTTCATTCGTTGTTTTAACGAATGTTTACTGACTTCCTCATAGTGGATTCTGGAAATACCATGTTGAACAAAGATCTCATTTTCTCCCTGACTCTGCTCACTCGGGGGTAGTCATTGAATGACATCAGAAATACCATTTCAAATACAAATTCAGTTAAGTACAGGGAGATACAGCTAGATGTGACCATACAACAGGAGTTCCTGATCCTCCTAGTGAATCAGGGAGGCTTCTTGGAAATAGAAAACTTATGGAATGAGTAGAAGTTAGCCAGGTAAAGGGGATGGGGGCAGTGGAAAGGGAGATCAGGCAGAGGGACAAGCATGTGCAGTGGTCCTGGGGTAGGAGGGCTTCTTGGGTCTGAGCCTCCACCTGACCAACCTCCTACCTTACAGCCTGGAGGGGCCTCCCTCGTACAAGCCGCCGACCCCAAAGGCAAAGATGGAGGAGCCTGAGATGGTGAGCACCTCCCCTAGAGCCCAGGCCACCCCCACCTCCACCCCCACCTTTCCCCACTGAGGCCAAGGCTGGGAGGAGGGGCTGGGGGGAAGAAACTGGCTGTGCAAGAGTCCTGACCTGCCCCTGCCCCTCCAACTGCAGCCCTCCCAGCTCTTCACTCTAGGGGCCTCGGAGCACAGCCCACTTAAGACCCCCTACTTCGATCCTGGCGTCTCATGCACTGAGCAGGTAGGAGCTCGGGGAAAGACAAAGGTGGGTTCAGGGTCTGAGTTTAAGGGCTGGGGTCAGAAGAGGTCAAGGTCAAGGACTAAAGGTCACAACTCAAGTTCAGGGTTGTGTCTTTGGTCAGAGCCTTGGGCATTGAGATGTATTTAGAATTCAGTGGGGGAGGTTATGATTGAGAAAGTCCAAGGACATGAGGTTATAGTTTAGTCACTCAGTCAACGAAGACTGAACATCTATATTTGTCAGATACTGTGGGACAAGACAGTCACTCCCCTCAGCGGTCTACTGGCAGTCAGGGGTCAGATATTGAGTTTGAGACAAGCCAAGGTTTAAGGGGCTATTTCAGGCTTAAGGTTAAGTAACTGAGGTCAAAATTGAAGTCAAAGGTTCATGGGGAAAGACTTGGGGTCAGGAATCAACAGACAAAGTAGAGACCCAGGATTGACAGGGTGAGGTCCATGTTCTGGGCTTTGAGTTAGGGACAAGCCATAGGATTGTTCCAGTGCAATTTTGACCCAGGTGACAAGGGGTGAGATCAAGTCTGGATGGCATGGGGAGATGGTCAGGATTTTGGGGTCAGGGGCAGATTGGGATTCTGTATCATGCTCAGGAGGTGACCTTGGGCTCTTATTCCCTTCCCACCCCCAGGAAGTGCCTCGGTACCATGAGCTGCCCACCTTGGAAGAGCGGTCGGGGCCCCTGCTCCTGGGGGCCACAAGCCTGGGCTCCCCCATCCTGGTGCCTCCAAGGCTGCCTGTTGTGGAGAGGCTTTCCCTAGACCTAGAGGATGAGGAAGAGGAGGAGGAAGACTACTTGGACAAGATCAACCCCATCTATGACGCCCTGTCCTACTCCAGCCCCTCTGATTCCTACCAGAGCAAAGGTTTTGTCATGTCCCGGGCCATGTATGTGTGAGCTGCCATGGCTCTGGCCTCAAGCCTCTCCCTCTTTGATCCATCAACTTTCTGCCAGGGATTTAGTGCCTCCTGACCTCTGGCCAGGCCACTATCAATTAACACACCTCTCACCTGTGCTTCTGCCTTGGTGGCACCACTATGACCTCTACCCATGATCTCTGATCCAGAAAAATTGGCCATGACAATGGAAACCTGGTAACCTTATCTCAAGTGGGGGTGGGGGTGGGGGATATGTTTCTGCACAACCTCTGACCCAAAGACTGACTTTAGTTCATACCTCTCATATCCCACCATCTCCAGTCTCCCTGCAAATTCCAAAGAAGACCCCAGATCTCTGATTTGTCCTCAGGCAGTAAACTCCCAATAGCTCTGCTGTTTGGGGGCACCCTGCTGCTCAGACCTGAGCCCTCTAGGTGGCAGAGCCCCACTTGCCCCCTCTCCACCCTGTCTGTTCCCCAAAAGCAGGAGGGAGAGGATTCCACAGCCCAAGGCAGAGCTTCCCCATCTCCCTCCTGCAGGCAGGAGTCTCAGGGTCCAGACCCTTCCCTGAGCCCCCATTTTCCCAATTCCTGGAATTAAGTCCCAGCCCAGGGCTAGATGGGGTAAGCATCATGCAGAGTGTGCCTCATGGCCCCCAGCCTTGAGAGAACTTCCTGTTAGTCTGAAGACTACTTAAGTCCTTGTACTCCTGCTCAGTGGGATGGGACCCAAACATCTCCCTGCAGAAGAAAGAGGGTCACCTTGGTTGGGGGTGGGGATCTGCTACTGTTTTGTAATATGGCCTTTCCTACAAAATATGAATTTATACTTTGACTAGGTCTCAGCTTGTATTTTTTGTGGGGTGTGAAGGAGATGGGGGTGGAACATGATGGCCTTGAGAGAATCATTGGAAATCAAGATGGGTTACAGACAAAAACAAAAGAGCCAAAGACATGAAAAAAATAATTAAGTGAGGGGATAATAAGCAAAAATACATAAACCAAAAGCATAATGATGGGTAATGGAGAGGGGGAGGAGTCCAAGGTATGGTTGTTAATGAAAAGGAATCAGTGCAACAGCAGTCTAATGGGTAATGGACAGAAATAAACAGAACAAAGATAGAAACGGTAGTAATTAAGTACGAAGGGTTCAGGTTTCATGAATAGATGGCAAGCAGGGATAGGACAAAGGCAAAATTATGGATAATAGGAGCTCAGGATATGGCAGATTATAGATCTGAATAAGCCAGAGACAGAGTGATAAATAATGGAGAAATAGGGGCCGCAGGCATGATGGGTAATGGACTCAAAACATGATCGTTAATGAAAGAAGGGCTAGAAGAACGACAGAAGTGAACAGGCAGAAATGGGCTAAAGGCAGTATAGGAAATAAACTTGAAATGAATGGGGCGGAGGCATGCTGGGTAATGGGACAGAAATGAATGGGCCAAAGATAGAAACTACAGTGACGCAGGTCCGGGGTGTGGGGAAGGGCGGACAGAAGGCATGATGGGAAACGAGAGGAGTGGGTTTATGGCAACTGTAGCGTTAAGTAAAGGGTATTGTGGGTAAAAGAAGCAGGACAGGGTTCACATAACCGGTCAGAATTCTCCCGAGGCACTGTGGGAAGGGCCAACGCTTCCGGTTTTCAGTCGCCGACTCCGGACTGGGGGATCTGTCCCTCTGCCGCGGTGCCTGGTGGGGCGCGAGGCCTGACCTTGCTGCCTAGCAGCCTCTGCCGCGCAACCCACCTTTACCCGTGTCCCTCGACCCTGGCACGTTAGCCAATGAGCACACCAGGCTGATTATGTCACCTGGGTCGGGCCTGTGCCTGCCGGAGCCAACCTGGATGCTGCAAGGGCCAAAGCCGACCAATTATCGTCTCAACTTCGCTGCGGGGCAGAGTCAGAAGAGGGGCGCCTTCGGAAGAGGGGCGGAGGCGACAAGTCAGTGGGCGTTGCAAAGTGCTCAGCACAAACCAATGGCAGGCGAGCACCGGAACCCGCGGCGTCACGAGCCAATAGACGCGGGCTCCGCGAGCCAATGGAAGGGCTGGCAGGTGTGCTTTGACCTGCCTGCGAGTGGACGCCAATAGAAAAGGACGTTCCAACAAGATGGGTGGGACTCCCATCCATGGCTCCAATAGCAAGGCCAGGCCCTGAAGCTGGTGGGCGGAACTCAGGGTATACAGAACCAATAGGCTAGGTGGGGCGGGGCCACGGTGGCGGCGGCGGCGGCAGTGGGTTCGGTTGCGCGTGGCGCACGGGGTGGGAACGGAGGCCAGGCCGGGAGCAGGCGCTGCCGCCAGTGAGAACCGGGGCCCAGAGCAGGGTGAGGGTTGGCTGGGGCCTGGGCCCGGAGCGCGCAGACCCTGACCTCCGCCCTCTGACCTTTTCCCTTCCAGGCGACCATGGGCAACGTGTTGGCCGCTAGCTCGCCGCCCGCAGGGCCGCCGCCGCCGCCTGCGCCCTCCCTCGTGGGACTGCCACCGCCTCCGCCCTCTCCTCCGGGCTTCACGCTGCCGCCTCTGGGGGGCGGTCTGGGAGCTGGGGCTGGCGCGGGTCGAGGTTCGGAACGGACCCCCGGGACTGCGGCCGCCAGCGCCGCAGGGACCGCGGACGATGGGGCCTGCGGCTGCCTGCCCAACCCCGGCACGTTCGAGGAGTGCCACCGGAAGTGCAAGGGTGAGGGGCGAGGGACCTGGTGGGGGTGTGATGGCCCAGATCTCGGGGGAAGGCGTGGGGGGGGGCACTTTGAAGCAACCTTGGGAATTGGCACGGACCATTGGAATTATTTAACAGAGCGTTAGGAGTTGGCGTTGGGATCGAATGGTGGAACGTTGGACTTGGGGCTTAGAACGATGGGATCAAATGGTGGAACCTCGGGATGTAATGCCGTAGGAGTACAGAAAAGCCTTAGGGACCTCAGGAGCCCCCAGGGATCACCCAAGCCAGCCTCCTCGTGTGATCAGGAAAGAAACTGAGGCTCAAGGTCACAGTGTCAGCCAGGTATCAGCAAGGGTCTAGTGGGGGTGGAACCCAAGGCTTCTGGATCCTGGCTTGGAGTAATTGTGATAGCAAAAGTGTTGGAGACTTACTGAGCACTGTCATGGCATTCAGTCTGTGTTAACTCATTAAATCTTTGCAGTATTTCCATGTGGTGAGCATCATCTTACAGATGACAAGTTTGACACAGATAAAATAACTTGACCTAAAGTCACACAGTGGTAGATGGTGGCACTGGGATTTGGATGCAGGCAAAGGCCCCGGTCCTGGCCCCATCCATTAGGTTGAACTACCATTGGGGTACTTTGTGGGACATTCTGTGTTTCTCTGGAGAAAGGAAAGCTGGGCTGATAGAGAAGACAGGGATGAGAGTTGGGGTGTGTATTTGTGGAGCGTGGAGTATGACAGCATTTCTCTTCTTCAGAGCTGTTTCCTATTCAGATGGAAGGTGTCAAGCTCACAGTCAACAAAGGGTTGAGTAACCATTTCCAGGTGAGCTTTCCTGGTGCCCTTACCCTGCAGAGGTCATCCCAGGCATTCCCCCTGCATCTGCATACAATCCCCCTTACTCCTGCCTAAGGACTGGATACCTTGGTACTTGAAAAGACTCAGAGACAGTGCCAGGCTGTCTCCTCAGTGGGGGCCCGTGGTAGTGTTTAGGGACCCAGAATCTAGAGGTACCCCTCCCCCCATAAAACCCAGGCAGGAGTGAAGTGCCAGGTATGTAACCCCATCCCCTACCACATTCTTTTTCTAAGTCTAATCTAGTCAGGCCACACCTCCCAGTCTTTACCCCCTGCCCAGCCCAGAGATGCCTGTTTTCCTCCTTGATGGGGAAACCTGACTGGCAAGTATTTCCATGTGGTGAGCACCCCATCCCAGGCTGGAGGGGAGCTGTGCTGGCAGTGAGCTCAGCTGGGTTTGTTGGGGGTGGCCCAGAGCCTCATCCCCACAGCCCTCCCTCTTCTCTCAGGTGAACCACACAGTAGCCCTCAGCACAATCGGGGAGTCCAACTACCACTTCGGAGTCACGTATGTGGGGACAAAACAGCTGAGTCCAACAGAGGTGAGGTTCCTCTTGTCATTTCATTCATTGTATCATTCTTCTAACTAATATTTAGCCACGCACTAGGCAAAGAAAGCTTTGTCAGTAGGAGACCAGAGCTGCTGAGGGAGCTGTTGGGAGCGGGGAGTGTGGCTCTCCAAGATGTGTTGGAACATGGGCCATTCCTTCATCCTGAACCCCTGCTCTCTGCCCAGTCTTGTGCTGGGTGAGGCTTTGAGTGCCAAACTAGGCATTTGGACTTTATCTAGGGGGCACTGGAGAGCCATGGAAAAATTTGAACTAAGGAAAGTCATAGTCAGGTATGTGCTTTAGAAATGTCCCTCAGGCTGCCATGTAGAGTCTAGGGTAGGGGAGTGGGCGCAAAACTGGAGGACTGGAAGGAGGCTGTGGTAGGAACAGATGGAATTGGGAAACTGAGTTAGATCACTGCTTACATTAACTATTCCAGTTCAATAAATTGGTTTATTCAACAGACCTTCATTGTACCCCCATTCTTTGCCCCGCTCTGTGCCGGGGATGTAGCAGTGACTAAAACAACAATGGGGCACACGGTCTAGTAGAGAGAGGGAACAGGTTTATCTCTAGAGTGACAATCCAGGGTGGGCAGGACTGAAATGGGGGAACCCAAAAGCTGTGGGAGCCTAGAGAGGAGTCTAATTCAGCCTGGGTGGTCAGGGAGGGCTTCCTGGCAGGGGGGGACCTCAATCCGAGGCTTTCTGATCCTAGGCGTCTCACCTAAGCCTGTCACTCATGTATGTCCATAATGCTAGACCTCTGGTCTCTAACCTCTAAACTTGCCTCACAGGCATTCCCCGTGCTGGTGGGTGATATGGACAATAGCGGCAGCCTCAATGCTCAGGTCATTCACCAGCTAGGCCCTGGCCTCAGATCCAAGATGGCCATCCAGGTGAGTGGGAGTCAAGTCGGCTGCTGCCCCAGCCACCCCGGGCACCAGGCTGCCCTCACATTCCCCTTCCTCCCTCACAGACCCAGCAGTCGAAGTTTGTGAACTGGCAGGTAGACGGGGAGTACCGGGGTTCTGACTTCACAGCAGCCGTCACCCTGGGGAACCCAGATGTCCTGGTGGGTTCAGGTAAGAGGCGCAGGGCTGGGGGGTGGTCAAATCCCAGTCAGTCCCAGCTTTACCAGCAAGTCCATGCCCTTCCCTGGCCCTCCTTTCTACCATCCGAGAAATGGGCAGGGATAGGAGGGGTTTTGAAACATCAGGCAGCATAGCATTGTGAAGGAGAAAGCAGGTTCAAACCTCAGCTCTGCCACTGACTGAACTGCGATTGTAGGCAGACTCCAGCACCTCTGTGGGCCTTAGTTCCCTTGTCTGTAAAATTGGGCTGCCTCACAGGGTTGTTGAGTAGGTCTTGTAAGTTCATGTGTGTGAAAAGCTTCAAAGGGAGTCAGGCATGTAAAGGGTCCCAAGGAAATGAGCTATTGTTATCACTCATGGGTCTCTGGGCTTGTTTGGGGGCACAGAACAGATCCCAGGGTGGGCAGGGTCCATGTGGGGAGGAGGCAGGTAGTCTGAGATGGAGGCTGACAGGGAAACTGGGCTGGCTGGGGTCAGGAACCGTCTGACTTCTGTTTGCACTTCTATTTCTCCAGTGGTTTGGAGGTTTTGTGGGAGGTTGTGTCTGGGTGTCTGTTCGATTTCTCTACGTTTATTTAATGAGTATTTATTGATCGAGTACTGTATATATTCTAGGCACAGAGGATAATGTGAGCAAAGGAGAATTAAGTCTGCCCTCTGGG